GGTGGAAGCATTAGACTGATACTCAGGAGGAAAACTCACTTGCAAATCTGCCTTTGAAGTAGAAACCCCCGTTGATTCTTTTTGATTTCCCTCATTCACCAAACCCTTCCCATCTTCCTCATCAAACAGTCCCTTGATAATTAATATGGCATTCCATCTCCTCTTCTTTGTATTTTATATTCGAAGTCAAATCTTCACTCTGAGAACTGATATCCGAAGAAGAACCCCACAGGGTGACCTTAGTCAATACACAAAAGAGTTGAATTTTTCAAAAACCTTGGACCCATCATCAACTTGCCTTCCCTGTTTAAACTCAACAAACACCTCAAAATTATCAATCATATTATAAAGATATGATGTAGCCTCTATAATACTCAATTTGTAATCCTTCGAATGTGTCTTCTCTTTGTCTTCCGCTCCCATCGTTTCCTCTGATTCCTGCTCACCATCGATGTTCTCCTTGTTTGCCTTAAATGATAGGTTTGCCCTAATATGAAATAAGTCAGTACTCAAAGCATTCCTCAAGTATTTGAGCTACTGATGTTAGGTTGGGCCATTTTGAAAATTAAGACACTCCAACCGTTTGGCTCTTAAATGGCCCACCCACAAAAGAATCGAAAAACTTATGGTCATTGGCCTCTCAAATGACCCAAAAGAAATTTGGGCTTTATTAGCCTGGCCCATCTTCAATTTTAGAAGCCCCATTAACAATATCAAACCCCCTTCTTTAAAACAGCCCAACAAATATTTTTCTTCATAAACAGCTGTAGGTCTCATGTTACTGACATTTAAACTCCCATCTAACTTTTTCAAATTTGAATTAACTTCTAACAACATGGGATTCCATTAATTTTTGCATTAACTGGTTCCTTAATTACTATCTTCCTGAAAATTGCTAGTGACCCAATTTCCTAAATAGAATTTGCTTGTCTACCCTTTTGAACTCTACTCCATGTGTAGCAATCCTTGCCACTTCATTATCTTCAACCACAGACTCTGGTTTACGAATTTGTGGTGCAACCATTCAACTTTTCAGTTTCTTTCGATTGTTACTGTCGTCTCCAAGTCGCAAAAGGACTTCAACGATGATCTGATAACTTTTCCCTTGAAATTCAATATTAACAGTGAGGGAATGAAACTGTTGTCTCATCTACCCACCTTAACTTTTGCTTGAAAAAGGTTTTTCATTCCCAAAGTATTATTGTCGTCCTTCACTAAGCCACCACAATACTCTCCAATCTTCCTAAACACTTCATCATTTCATAAATGAAATGGGAACCCTTCAATCCGTAACCATCCACCCAGGAATGAAATTCTATTCCTTCTGAAGTTGGATTCAGGAATCCATTTTGACAATCTGATCAACCCAACATCCTTTGCTGAAACCTCCTTCACATTACATGTTCATAGCAAGATCCTTATTTTTACAAAAGCAAACAACCTTATCAACTTGGAATGGATTCAACTCAACTTCGATTTTAATTTGTTCATTAATGCTCGTTATCCATCTCCAAGGGATAAAAATACTTCCCTTCTCGCAAATCACTGCACATTTCCATTTTCAAAAAAGAGAGGAGCTCTCCATACAATCTACCGGTGACACTAAAGCCCTGGTTACNAGCTGTAGGTCTCATGTTACTGACATTTAAACTCCCATCTAACTTTTTCAAATTTGAATTAACTTCTAACAACATGGGATTCCATTAATTTTTGCATTAACTGGTTCCTTAATTACTATCTTCCTGAAAATTGCTAGTGACCCAATTTCCTAAATAGAATTTGCTTGTCTACCCTTTTGAACTCTACTCCATGTGTAGCAATCCTTGCCACTTCATTATCTTCAACCACAGACTCTGGTTTACGAATTTGTGGTGCAACCATTCAACTTTTCAGTTTCTTTCGATTGTTACTGTCGTCTCCAAGTCGCAAAAGGACTTCAACGATGATCTGATAACTTTTCCCTTGAAATTCAATATTAACAGTGAGGGAATGAAACTGTTGTCTCATCTACCCACCTTAACTTTTGCTTGAAAAAGGTTTTTCATTCCCAAAGTATTATTGTCGTCCTTCACTAAGCCACCACAATACTCTCCAATCTTCCTAAACACTTCATCATTTCATAAATGAAATGGGAACCCTTCAATCCGTAACCATCCACCCAGGAATGAAATTCTATTCCTTCTGAAGTTGGATTCAGGAATCCATTTTGACAATCTGATCAACCCAACATCCTTTGCTGAAACCTCCTTCACATTACATGTTCATAGCAAGATCCTTATTTTTACAAAAGCAAACAACCTTATCAACTTGGAATGGATTCAACTCAACTTCGATTTTAATTTGTTCATTAATGCTCGTTATCCATCTCCAAGGGATAAAAATACTTCCCTTCTCGCAAATCACTGCACATTTCCATTTTCAAAAAAGAGAGGAGCTCTCCATACAATCTACCGGTGACACTAAAGCCCTGGTTACAACTGTCCTGTTTCCAGAACTATTACCACTCCTTAACAGTTCATCCAGCATATTCAGAAAACTCCCCCATCCCTTGTGATCATTTCCTTGAGGAACACAATACTTTCCCTCTTCTTGTAAGACTGAAATTTCAACACAGTAAGGAATTTTCCATTTCTATTTGACTTCACTTTAGTCCATAATTGAAACGTGTTAGATCGGAGTTTCCTTAAGAATGGCGTCGACTCATTACACTTGCTTGCCTCCTTCAAAACACCAAATAACCATGAGACTCCACCCAATCCAACAGTGATGGAAAAACTTGCATACTTGGATCTTTTAGTCATTTTGATAACATCCCCCCGGAGAGCCCAAGACTCCTCATCTACGTCCACCAAGAAAATTTCCTTATCAATATTCTTCATCTTTTAATGTAGGAGGATATCTCACCTACCTACTACAACCTGCAAATCACCATCTGAACAATGGAAGTTCCTATAGCAGAAGCTTCTCAGAAGCTATCCAATAAGGCTAAAATCTTTTTGTAGCATTTCAAGCTTACAGACCAATTTGGCAACATCCCGGATTTTCATAAAATGAGGATTTGGAGTTTTAATATTATTGATGATGAAATATAGACAATTTTTAGGATGATGATTAGGATGAATTGTAAGTTTTAAAGTTCCTATAGACTTTTTAAAAGTGGTATCAGAAGAGCATAAGTTTAAGATTTAGTAGATTGTTCTAGGTTGTTATTTAGAATGATGACTTGTGCGTTATGGAAAAAGTGATTCAATACAGTTAGTATTTTATCAGAATGCAGAGTGAAAACAAATAGTGTACTGTGGAGAGTGCTTGCTAGGGTGGATAAGTTGTAACTGGTATCAAGAAGTGTGGATATGATATCAGAGTGCGCAGCAAAAGCAATTCATCTATCGATTGCAAGTTTGGTGGACAAAACTTTCATTTAATGGGGTGGATTTGATTTGATCATGATTTTGATTAAAAATCCTTTGAATTGTGTTTGACAATTGATTTAATTGTCAATTTGATTTAATAAGGATTTTATTCTGAGCATATCGTCTTTTGAAATGCCCTGGTCTTTCTTATGCTTTATTTGATAAATCAATTAACAAAATTTTACTACATATCTCCAAATATACGGACTGATCTTTAATTTCCTCAACAAAAATTAAATTGATAATTGAATCTCCAAATACAAATACATCTCCCAATTTACATATTACAAAAGTTATATCATCTCCAATTCATCAAATATTCCAATCACGATCTTTTCTCCAAAATCCTCAGTGGAGAAGTATACAATACGATAGGAAACAATAGGTCAAGAATATTATATGGATTAAATCAAATCGATAATTGAACAAATTGATCAGCCTATGTCAACTAGGACCTCAATCGAAACAATAATCATATCATATCACGTCATGCAAGACCAAGAAATAGACCTACCACCTCATCAACCACCCCACCTTACCCTAATCTCACAGATCTCTTAGATTGGTGATACATTGGACTACTGGCTACCATGATCCAATCCTCAATCCACACCGTGCATGATCAACGTACTCACAATACCAATACAAATTCAATAAAAAATTAAGAATCATAACAACTCAATCAAAAGGAACACAAATCGGAAAGAATCAAGGATTTAATCTTTGCAAAGAGATTAAAGATAGAGCATATTATATATTACTTCGTAACTCAAATTTTCAAATGTTCTATTAACTCTTAACAAATATGAATTTAAAACTATCTTGAATCAACCAATGGGCCTTTGGTCCAGTGGTACTCTTTGTTTTGTAAAGGCTTTGCCTTTGTCAGGTCAAGGGTTCAAGTCCCCCTCTCCCTCCCCCTCCCACGCCCACTCCCAAAAAAAAAAAAAATGAACCATATCCTCAAATTTGGTAGCAATCCGATTTGAAATCACCATTTGATAAAGCTTCATTTTTGTCTTTCTTGGCTACGGTTATTACACCATGGGGGCTGAATTTATAAGCTAAAAAAACCTATTTATAAAAAAGGAAGTACGAGGTGACATTGGACACTTGGATCCAAACATGTAATGTGACAAGGGTCCAAACACTTACCAACTACTAGGCATTTCATATCATGCAATACTACACGTGTTCAACACTTGTATCTATACTCTAATACACACAATACATGCATGGTGACACTTCTCAAGACACCCCCCCCCCCAAAAAAAAAAAAAAAANCCATATACTTTAGTACGAGCATATGGCAAGGTGTTTAAGATAATTCTTCACCTTCAATGGTAAACAAGGATCCCTATTCTGCCTTGTACGAATCTTTCCTAGGGATTATACCACTTGGGTGAAGAGTTTTTACTGGAAGATCAATCAGTTTGCTATCCCAAATGAATGTATCAAACTTTTCATTTCTCATGACTCTTGAATTTTATATCCTCCAATGACATTGAATTTCCAAAGGCTGTGTACTCATAAAATTCTTTCTAGATATTTAAGTATGCTGGAGATCTATGTTATGTAGTTGTGCAAATGCCTACACAGTGGTGTTACATGAACTGTTGTTTGATTACTTCCTATGCCACGGTAGGCATCTAATTTGTTAGTCAGCATGATGCTTTGTGTGTAATTTATTTAGCATTATGTGAGAAACGAATCTTTATGATTTCAGGTGAACAGGCTGAAGTTAAGAAGGAAATGGAGCAAGTAAATAGTAAACCAAAATTAGATATTCGCCTCACCGACTTGAAGCTTGTTCTAGGCCCAGAGTTGAGAATAGTTTATCCCTTGATTCTCAACTTTGCTGTTACTGGAGAGCTTGAGTTAAATGGCATTGCTCACCCCAAGTGGATAAAACCTAAAGGCATTCTTACATTTGAGAATGGTGATGTGAATCTTGTTGCAACTCAGGTAAGTCTTTGTCTCCATATGTTACTGCTGTAGTTCAGTTCATGATTTGTGGTCTTTCTGTTTCTTTTTGCTTTCTATTTTTTATTTTTTCAATTCTAGGCTGGCATGTGATTTTTTTTGGATATCCAAAATTGACCTTTTCTAATTCAGGTGAGGCTTAAGCGAGAGCATCTAAATATTGCAAAATTTGAGCCTGATAATGGACTAGATCCAATGCTAGACTTAGCTCTGGTAGGATCAGAGTGGCAATTCAGGATTCAAAGTCGAGCTAGCAAGTGGCAGGACAAGTTGGTTGTGACCTCCACACGTTCTGTGGAACAGGATGTTCTCTCACCTACTGAGGTAATATGTATGACTCCAATCGTGTGTGTCTTATCCAGTCTCCTTAGTTCATTCAAATCGTTTATAAAAGAACTTACTGTATAAATTCAGTTTGTAAATGGATTTGTTCCGGTGTTGGAAAATGATGCATGCATGGTGGTGCTTTGCAAATTTCAAAAAGCAGAAGTATGGTATGAGCGTACGTATAAACTTCTGATATATCTAGATGAATGCTAGCCATTTTCATTTCTTTTCCCTATATAATGCAGGATATTATGAGCCATAATTTGGTGGAGTCTGTTTTACTAAAGTTTGAATTTCCATGGATTTGAGTGTGGATGATTAATCTTTTATGCAGTATTGGATTTTGGATCGAAATGTTTTTTTCTGAAATTTATCATATGTCCTGTTCAAGCCTTAAGTTTTCTGATCTGTTTGTTTCCACATGCACAGGCAGCTAGAGTATTTGAGAGTCAATTAGCTGAGTCCATCTTGGAAGGTGATGGCCAGCTTGCATTTAAAAAGCTTGCTACTGCAACTCTCGAGACATTAATGCCAAGGATAGAAGGGAAGGGAGAGTTTGGACAGGCTAGGTGGAGGCTAGTTTATGCACCACAGATCCCTAGTTTGCTTTCTGTTGATCCCACTGTTGATCCTCTTAAATCTCTAGCCAGCAATATTTCATTTGGTACAGAAGTCGAAGTCCAGCTGGGGAAGCGCCTTCAGGTTATTTTGATGCTTTTTTCTTTGTTCTGGTTAGAACTTCAGTTCATGAAATGTTTATTCCATGCTGTAATCTGCCTTTCAGTATTTTAATTGATATTAATTGGTTGGTTTTGAAATTGAAAAGGACATTTTAGGTAAAATAAATAAACTTAGGCAAAGATCTGAATGACAAATATCAGGACTGGAAGGGCAGGATGAGGGTAGCTTTATTTTGTTCAGTTTTCTGTACTTAGGGAGTGATTCTTGAAAACCTGAAAGCCAGCGAGGCAATGCCAATGCAATGGACCATAGCTTCGATTTTCTCTCATCAAAAAGCTCACCAGTGATGCTGTTTTAACGGTTTGTGGCATCATTTCCTCTCCATTATGCCTTGGGGAAGCTTTCACTAATGGCCAGTACAGTGGTTTCTGAATTGTGTTTTGATAGACTCTGATTGGGATTATCGTTGTTATCACATTAGTAATGTACCCTGTGGTAACCAATATATACTGAGATTAGTATTTCCACTTCAACAAAATCACTTTTTTCTGGAGTATTTGGCTATTGTTGCTTTCTGTTGTGAATAGTGGTCAATTCTGAATTGAATGAGTTATGTGGTTATCTTTCTTTATCTCACTCATCATCATCTTTTAGCACCCTTTTTCTTGGTTTTCCCAGGCTTCTGTAGTTAGGCAGATGAAGGATTCAGAGATGGCAATGCAATGCACCTTGATCTACCAGCTTACAAGCCGGCTGCGACTGCTCCTACAATCTGCTCCATCCAAACGAGTCCTCTTTGAATATTCTACTACGTCTCAAAACTAACCTGCTTGGCACGGAAGTTGAGTTTTGCTGTGTGGAATATAATTCTTGAATGGCGTGATTGTTACAGTGTTGTTGCATATGTGGCATTTAGTTCTCCCCTTTCTACTTTGGGAGGTGGGGTGGGGTGGGATGGGGGCAGAGGGGTTCGGACCAGGGGATTCCAGTATGTAAAATTAATTGTTGTAAATATGTTATCATTCTTTGCTCAGAAATGAATGAGCTGGTTTATGAGTACATCAGAAGTGTACAGCCAAGAAAAAATTTCATGCATTAGTTGAATGTCATTTGAGGAAACGCTTGATGCATCAAAAAACCCTTGGCGTTCGACTCGTAGCCCATCTATTGTCTCTCGTGATGATAACAGGACTATCATATTTATACCTCCTAGAGGTTGACTGCAGTTTCATGTTTTTGGTAATAAGCATGGCACTGGTCAATGTTTTTCATTATATGGTTGATAAAGCTTGACACTACCCAATTGTTTTCATGTGTTTCAGCTGACTGTTATCACACTGTCACAGCTTTGCAAGAGAGAGGATTTCAATTTTGAAAATGATTTGAGAATGATATTCCAAATGTTATGCCACTTAAGGGCAGGTTCTGCATAGTAGCTGTCCCAAATACTGCATTTTCACTCATAACACTGATTCTTCTGCCTTCTGCTGCACTTCATTTTACAATTTGTGTTAGGGTGCTTGGTTTGGATTCCTCAACAATCTGCAAAAAACTATTGAAGGTCTGTCGATAAATCAGATTTTAATTTGAATCCAAATTTAGTCAACCACATATTGTTTGTTCTTGACGGATTGTCCAAATCCGAATATGTTACATCTTATTTCTTGAATTTGGGTTTGGATATATCAATTTTTATTTTTATTTGAGTTCTATGTATTGAATTTATTCGGATAAAGTCGTATTTTTTTATTGTTAATGGAGTCATATATGGACTTGGCAAATGAAAATAATCAGCTAGTCAAAACAGATTTGGATCAATTGAAATCCGTATTGTTGACAGGTCTATTGCACTTATTCAATCTAATAAGTACCTTGTATCAAAATTGAGAAATTCTATGGTTCGGATCTTTAGTATTCTCTTATTTATTACTTATGTCTCATTTCTCACCCGAAAAATAGGAACCCAATCATTTGGGAATTCTTTCTTGTCTGCCTTGGACGCACGACACCTCCTTTAATAATTGATGTAGTAACCTTTAATGGTTCAAACAGCCTGGTTGGAACTCATTAGTTAATAAAATGCGAAATCTAAAATAGAGACATTAAATAGAAAATGGTGGAACTTTTTTTTTTTGC